AAATGAGCTGGAGAAGGAAATGGCAAACCAATCTAGTATCTTTGCCAAGAAAATCCCAAATCGGGTCATAGGGAGTCGGACATAACTGAAACCACTCAACGACAATTGTTAGGAAGTTTGCCTACGTGTTGAACCGAAGTCTGCTTCTCTAGCTCGCAAAACTCATTGTTCCTTTGACATCCATCAGAAAAAGCCTAATTCCCTAATCAGGCTCCTGAGTTTCCCAAAGAACAGGCTGATAAATACTTTGAGGAAAGTTATAACATTCTCCTTTCCTCCTCCTCCACCCCTCCTCTCACCACAACCAACTAAATCTTCCCAGGCCAAACAACTGCAACTCCTTCAACATAGCCAGACCTCTCATACCAGTCTCCTTCCTTGGGACATGCTTCATTTTGACAATGTCCTTCCTAAAATGTAGCACTTAGAACTATACTGGACTGAACTAGATTTGATCTGGGCAAAGGACAGAGTAGAGTCACAGGGCTTGAGTTTGAGTTCTGGCTTTATTACTTTTTAGCTGTGCAAACTTTGGTAGTCACTGAATTTGTAGACTCCAATCGCCTTATTGTGACTGTCATTTGTTAGCTTCACAATTGGGAGGTGAGAGAGATGGCGAACACATAGGTGCCATGTGACCACCATTGAGCACTGGCTACTATCACTGGTGATGTCCTAGTTGCCAAGTAATATGGTACAACAATTACTGGTGATTTGGGGAGCTCATTCCCAGAATCATATTGGCATACTAGACCAATCCAGTGGTCAGATACATGCGTTGTGCAACAGGGCCAGAGCCAGAAGAGGACCAGACTTGCAGCTGTTGTGAAACTTCAGCAGTTGTGGTGTAGATGAGATCTTTGACTTCTTTGGGGTGTATTTCTAGCAGTGAGAACACTGCTAGATAATTTACTCACTTTCTTGGCATCATTCCAAGACTGTTGGTGGAGGTATAAATTGGTTTAACCATTCTGGAAAGCAATGTATTTTTAATATGTTATTGATAATATATTTTGTTTTTACATTGCTTTTATTTCTCAACATTTCCCTTTCCCCCTCTCCCACTCTGGGAGCCATCTCTTAGAACAACAATAACAACGGGGGGGGGGCAGCAGATCGGCAAAAAGAACCAACATATGAAGGGAGGAAAGAAGTTATATTTTCATATCTCCTTATCAAGGCTAAGCTTGGTTATTATAATTATGTGGCAACCAGTGCCAATTTCTTTTTTTCCTTTCCATTTCCATTTTTGTAGTCACTGTTTATATTGTTTTCCTGGTTCTGCTTTCTCCTCTTTGTTGAAATGCACATGTGCACACACATACACGTATATCTTTTCCTATGTCTCTCTGTATTGTTCAAATTGAGGCAATTAAATGGCACAATGGATAGAATGTTGGATGTAGAGTCAGTAAAACCGGAGTCCAAATCTTGTTTCAGACAATAATTGTGTGACCCTGGGCAAGTCACCTAACATCTCTATGTCTCAATTTTCTCATCTATAAATGGGGATGACAATATCTACTCATAGAGTTGTTGTGAAAATCATATAACCCTTATAAAGTGCTTTGCAAATCCTAAAGTGCCATATAAATGTTACTGAATATCATTTAACCTTTTAAATGTTATGTTTCATTACATATGAAATATTACTGATTTAATTTTATATCAAATATTACTGAGCCACAGTTCAGCCATTCCCCAATCAATGGACATTTACTTTGTTTCTAGTTCTTTGGAAAGATGTTATATTTTGGTATACATGGGACCTTCCTATCTTTGATTTCCTCGGAGTATATGTCTAGCATTGGGTTGTTGTTGTTTGTCCTTAAGTCTTGAAGAGGACCATGGGATTGCAGAGTCAAAGGGTATGGGCATTTTAGTGACTTTCATGGCATTATTCTAAATTGTTTTCTATAAAGGTTGGGTTGATTCTTAGCTCCACCCCCAACAGTCTATTAGTACACCTATCTTTGGATGCCTCTTCCAACACTGATCATTACCATCTTTTGTCAATTTGCCAACTTTCTGAATATAAAACATTAGAATTCTTTTGATCTGTATTCCTCTTTTCAGTAATTTGAGGAATCTTTCATATTGTTAATAGTTTGCAGTTCTTTATCTCAGGAATGTCTTTTTATATCCTTTCACCCTTTATCCATTGGGGAAAAGCTTTTGATCTTAAGCATTTGTTAGTTTTCTGTATCTTGAATATCAAGCCATTATCTAAGATGTTTGATGCAAAGATTTTTTTCCCCCTAATTGCTCCCTTCCATTCTTATCCTAGTTACATTGATTTTGCTTGTACCAGGGGGAGGGAATCCTTGAGGCCTCTTGTGGCCTTCTAGGTCCTTGGGTTCAACCTTTTGACTGAGTTCAAGTTTTACAGAACATACCCTTTTATTAAGGGGAATCTATTCTGTGAAGTTTGGATTCAGTCAAAAGGCCACACTTGAGGACCTAGAAGGCCACATGTGGCCTTGAGGCCCAAAGGTTCCCCACCCCTGGGCCTTATACCAAATCAAGCAATGTATATTAAGTATCTATTATGTACTTAAGTATCACTGAGTACACAAAACAAAATCAGAAATTAGTTCTTGCCCTCAAGAAGTTTGCATTCTACCTTGTTTGGGACACTTCAAAATCCTCTATGTCTTCACCCATCCTCTTCTCTTTCTGTTGCTTTCTCAGAGAACTAGGTAGAAGGCAATACTAAGTCCTCTGCTTATGCCCATCAATGCCATCTCTTCCCCTTTTCTTCAGGAGCTTACCACCGCTGAATGACTAGCCCTTCTATCTCCTTTTCTTTGAATGAGGCACTCAGTAGACTGCAGAATGCTGCACTCAATCCTTCCAGCTTGAAATTCTATAATATACTTCTATGATTCTACAACTACTGTGGTGGCTTCATCTGTCCCATTCTTCTTACTCCAAACCACTGTTCTAGGACTGGACGCCTTGGAGGATATGGCATGGTGGGAAGTACATGCTGAGGACATACATACTGCCTTTAGGTTAGGATATGAGATACTAGAATTCTCAGGACAGGAATACCTTAACATTGGTCAAGGTGATTCTAGATGTGATTCTCATCAAGACAAGGAATTTATCTGGGATTCAGGGTTATGCTTGGCATAGGAACAGTCCTACTTTGTGCTATAAAATCAAGCTGACAGACCTTGGCTCATTGACCTTCCACCTTATTCCTATCCAGAGGACAGATCAGAGAATAGCTGAGCTCATTTGGCTCCTGGGGAAAGGGAAGCCTTTCCATGTATGTGGTATCCCTCCTGTGTGTGTGTGTGTGTGTGTGTACATACATACATACATACACATACATGTATAGAGAGTAATTTTTATCATTTTATCAACCTTATTTTTATAATCCAGATTATCTCCATTTTACAGATTAGAAAACTGAGGAACAAAGTGATTAAATTACTTGCCCAGGGTCATACAACTA